ACTGCTGTCTCTGTGAGCTTCATGGGCTCATTATATATTCTGGGTTTCGTTTATGTCACATACGTGTTTTACAAATGTCTTCTATTCAGAAACTTGACCTTTCATCTAAATATTTGAATGATCTAAACTCCTTAATTTTATGCACCCCAACCTGTGTGTGGTTAATTCTATTTGTATGCTATATGGAAAGTTTTACCCATCCCAAAGATGGTAAAAATTCTTTTTTCCTTTATAGATTTTCTTTTCACATTTAATCAATCTAGAATTGATAATTGTGGATAGGGTGGGGGAGAGTCACCCTCATTTTTTTTTTCCACATGAAATCATGAGTATGATTTCATTAATTTTTTCCTCAGGAGACGTGAACAAATGTCCATTTACCCCAAATAGAGCATCAATAACAAATCAAAGAAACCAGCCCACCCAAGTCTAGTTTAATTGGGGTTACTTATAGGAGTGTGGGTATGGGGTCAACTACAGGAACATGGTTCCATTATAGGGAAGAAGAGTCCCCCCTCTCTCCAGCAACTGATTATATCCCCTGCAGAGTGATGGGGCCTCCTGTGGGCTTGTGGGCAGCTTCATAAGCCCCCGTGGCTCTGACTCATGGGCCCCGTGAATCCATAAAAGCCTTGTGAGCCCTCGCTCTCCTTCATGACAGAATGTTAGGGGGTCCAGTCCTGTGACAGTAGTCACGATCACTCTGATTTCAAAGCAGCAGCAACCACGTCACACCCACGGGGCTGTACTCTGCAGTATGCAATTGACATCACACTATGTACTGAAAAGACTGGATTCTTGCTGGCCTGCACTTTCACATTGGTCATGACTAAGTCCTCGTGTGACTGACTGTCTGTGGACCTGCGTCTGGACACTGCTTGATTCTGGGAATCTCTCTGTCCACCCCAATCCAACTGTGAACTGTGTTAGCGTGGCCCTACGGTAGGACTTGATACGTGGTATTCCACACAGCTCAGTTCTTCAAGACCGCCTTGCTCACTCTCAGCCACTGCTTTCCCTCATAGAACGGAGGCCAGTTTCCAAAGGAAAGGTGGAATTCTGATTATGATTGCCTTGAAATCTCTCTGAGTTCGAGGCCAGCCTGGTCTACAGAACTAGTTCCAGGACAGACAGGGCTACACAGAGAAACCCTGCCTCAAAAAACAACAAACAAAAACAAAGAGAGAGAGAGAGATCATGTGACTTTTCCCCTATGTTCTGTTTCTGACATGAGTGAGGCTGATTGGTTTTCATTTGTTCATAAACTTCTGCAAGAACTTACTTGGCTCTAAGTGCTGCTGATGTTATGTGTAACTGATTCAACTCATTGAATTGAGTTGTGGGCTGTGCTTAGGATTTTTGTGTCATGGAAGACAATGGCCAGCCATTCTACTTTTGTTTGAAGTTCGTGTTGGGTCTAGAATCACAGAACGTAGTATTCCATTTTTTTTTCCAGTTTTCATATTATCAATGCCATTTATTTCTCAAATGTTTCGAGTAATTTAGCAGTGAAGCCCTGAGGTTTACAATTATCTTTGTGTGCAATTTTGAACAAATAGTTCAAAACTGCAAGCAGAGATAACTGATTGTTTAGCAGAGATAGAGACAGTCGGACTTTTTCTTCCTTTTATGGTGGTTGAGTAAGTTGTGCTTTTCTTTTCTTAAATTTTATTTACATGGCTTTGGGAGGGCAGTTATCCACAGAGGCTATAGGACATTGAACACCCTTGAGCGAGAGTTACAGGTGGTTGTGAACTGCCCAATATGGGTGCTGGGAACAGAACTGGGGTCCTCTGGAGGAGCACTACCACTCCTAACTGCTGAGCCCTCTCTCCCGCCCTTATCTCCCTTTGATTAATTAAAAAACAACTTTCATTTATTTAATTATTTATTATTTCTTTATTTACATTGAAAATTCATGCAGTGTTTCTGATCATGGTTTCTCCTCCCCGCATCTCCTCCCAGATCCTTCCCTCGTCCCCACTCATCCAACTCCATGCCTTCTTTCTCTCTTTTTAGAAAACAGGCAAATAAAAGAGCAAGCCAGATTTTTTTTTTAAGGCACAAGAAACACACACACAAAAGCAAAACCCATAAAATTACAAAATCAAAATCATACTATATGAGCAAAGGACCAGTAAGATTTTTTAAAAAAAAAAAAAAGGCTCAAACAAACAAAAAAATCTATGAAAACACCATTGAGTTCATTTTGTGTTAGCCATCTACTGCTGGTCATGGTGTCTGCCCTCAAGGGTGGTTAATACATCCAGTGAGACTCCATAGGAGAAAACTGATTTTTCCTTTGTAAGCAATTGTCAGTTGGAGATAGCCTCTCGGTTAGGGGTGGGAGCTCATGCCTACTTCCCCCTCTCAGTGCTGGGCTCCCTTCTGGCTGGAACCTGTACATGATGCCACAGTATCTGGGAGTTCATGTTCGAGCATCTGTCCTGTTGTGTCTGGAAGATACTGTTACCTTGGCCCTATTCTCTTTCTGTCTTGATGAGTCTTGCTAGAGATGTATCTGTTTCACTTAACATTTGTTTGTTTGTTCATGTGCAAGGTCTCACTATGTAGCCTGGGCTAGCCTGGAACATGCTATTTAGCCTTTCTAGCCTCAAAACTCCTGATCCACCTGCCTCTGCCCTGAACCCCAGTGAGGGGATTATAGGTATGTACGTCCACACGCAGCTCTCTATTTCTTTCTTTGTTTTTTCAAGAACACAGTTTTTGGCTGTGCTGTTTTTTTCCTTCTGAGCATTTGTTTTCCATTTCATTCATTTCCATTCATTCATTTATTTCCATTCTCACTTATTTCCATTCATTCATTCGTTTCCATTCTCATTCATTCCATTTCCATTCATTCATTTCTTATTTTTCGGACTCTCTTCTCTCTACTTTGGGTTTAGTTCGCTATTCTTCTTAATTATTCAGATGAATATCTAGATTTTTGGCTTTCAGCCTTTCTTCTTTCTTATGTGAATGTAAACAGAAGTAAAATTTATTGCAGTCATGTCTTTGATATATGTCTTATTTTTATTCCTAATGACTGAAGTTTCCATTTGATTTCTTCTTTGACAAAGGGATCATTCAGGGGCTTGTGTGTGTCATTTTCTGTTACTATAACAAAACACTTGAGATAATTGATTTAAAAACAAGGAAAGGTTTGCACTGGCTCAGGATTTCCATTTGTGGGCATTGGACCCTGTTGCTTTTGGGCCGTGGCATTGTCTTGTTCTTCTAGGGACCACCATTGCTTCCTAGGTTCTAATATATAACCTGATATCTTTCCCATTTCTGAGATGATGGGGGACCTTAGGTTATAAGAGTCTGCCACCTTTGTCATAATGGATTTTAATGCCGCAAATCTTTAAAACCCGTCACTGCTACCGTCTTACGCAGTCAATACTGCATTTGTCCATGCATCTGCTCTGACTCACCCCTTATTCCTTCACAAACCCCTGATAAAATGCGGGTGGTGAGAGATGAGCAGGGGCTCTAATGACCCCATAGGATGAAGATGGGATGTAGCGGGAGGCATAGTGAAACAGATCCATAGTGTGAGTCTGCTGTCTCCGTGGGTCATTGGGAGTACTGAAGCCTTGGCTTTCTCCCCTCTTGAAGTCAGGATTGTGTGTTTGCTTGCCTGGCCTGTCGTGCAGGTATCCTCAACATTAAAGGAAACAGAAGCAGACAGAGACTCTGCAAACACTAAAGCAGGGATTTCAAACCCAGCATGGGCTGTATTTAGGCAGTCAAGTATTCTTTGGGCTTACAGAACCCTTCCTTGTTTAAACCAAGCCACTGTTTAGAAATCTTATTATCTCTACCTTTCTCCTTGGGGGAAAGAAAATAACTTGAAGCTCTGACAACTGCAGACATGGCTTCTCCCCAGTTGTGGTCCTGGGTAGGAGCCCTCCCCCGTCCCCATCACGATCTTGGTTTTGGGAAGGGATGGTGTCAATGTGCACAGATCTCAGCACCTACACATCTGCATTCCTGGTGCCAAGCTTCCTCTGCTGTCTTATTATCTGAGCTGTGGCCCTGGTAACACACGCATCCACATTAGTTGTTATTACTCATTTAAAGTCGGGGACACACGGGGACAGGACTTTCTAGTGTTCACGGTTGCTAAGCGCTGAGACAGGTGACTGAGAGAGGTTGTAGAAACACTTTCCCTGGGGACCTAAAAATAAAACAGATTCATCCCCAGTCTCTCCAGGATGCCGAGAAGGGAGGGCAAGCTGACTGTACCACATTGCTTCTAGGTTTTAAGTCTGTCTGGGGATGGGGAGGAGCTGTTTTAGAGTCTGTCTATTGGAGGGAAGTAGAAATATAATCATAGATAGATTACATATTATAACATAATCCAGCATTTGGAAAACAAAAAATGTCTCATAATCCAGACAACAGAAAACATGAGGACTTCATAAAAACAGGCATGACTTAGTGAAACTTATTGAACTTCAAACCTGTGACTATCACTGTATGTAAATTATATCTCAATTTGTTGAGAGAGGGTCTTACTATGTAGTCCAGGATGGCCCCAAACTTGTGGTTCTTCTGTCTCCCAAGTGCTAAGATTACAGGAGTATATCACCATGTCAGCTATATCTGAATTCTTTTTTATATCTGAAAAAATTTATGCCAAAGTATAAATAAAAATTAAGGAGGAGGCAGGGGATAAATTCTGAGGGTAGGCTGTGCCAGTCACTAAGTAGACCACTGGACATTGCTTACAATATTAGATCCTCACAATATCTTATAAGGTAGGTATAATTATTACTCTAATCTTTCAGGTGTTGAAACTGAAATTCAGGTGATAAAATCCATAGCAGTTTGCACAGTTGGGAGAGCCACACCTTACAGTCCAGATGGAGTGATTCACCCAGGGACTCTCTCCGTCTGCTCTGTGAGCTAATCATTTGGATGGTTAGGAAAACTGAGAAAATGCATCACTGTACGCTTGAAGAGGGAAAGATGGAGAAACAGCCATAACTTACTGTGGTGTCTGCTGAGACATCTACTGAAGACCTCACTTCTTAACTCAGTACTAGAAACATTCATTCACAAACCCCAGCAGCTCGAGGCGTCAGCCCACTGTTGTTACAGCAGGATCATCAGCCTGTGTGAGAGAGAAAGAGAGAGGGACCTTTTGTGAGTCACTGACCTCTCCTTCCCAAGAGACACTATGATTCCTCAGGCCTTTGTAGTCACTGGTTCTGGTCTAGGATAGGATATTTCATGACAAGATGTTTCCGTCCTCACAAAACACACTCTGAACCACCCAACCAGGTCTGTGGATCTTCGGAATAGTTCTAAGACTCCTTGTGAATGTTGAAACCTCTCTCACAGGAAAAATGAGCATGTACATATACGTGCAAACTAACATTACAATTTCGAGAGGGTGTGAGTTCTCCTAAAGATCGCTGAACTACCCTGGCGTATATGAACAGGAAGGTGGGTCCCTAAACAGGAGTTGCTGGGTTTGAAGAGCTGATCGTTGGAAGAGGAGAAATCTAGCCTGTGCTTTCATCCTCAGCCGAGAAATCTAGCCCGTGCTTTCGTCCTCAGCCTTCCTGGCTCAAGGACTGAATTGTTAAGACTATATGCGAATGCAGCATGTGGGATAGTGGCCGTCCTGCCTGATTAACATTGTCACCAAGCGGTCCAGAAGACTGACATATCGGAAGATAAAATCCAGTGTCTCTGTGCTGGTTTTGTGTCACCAGTTAGTTGCCTTGTCTCTTTTCTCTCAGCAGTGAATAAAGCTTTCAATGTTTCCAGGGTTGGCTTGAAAGCTAATGTCTTGCATCACCTCATCTCCACACGCTAGGATGCCGCCGGTGTCTACTGCGGCAAAATGAGAGGGAAAGAGGAACTCTAAACAGCCTTCCTCTTGTCTTCGAACACTCAGTTCCTAGTCATCACTTAGACCTCCACTTCAGTACCACGCCCTCAAGGACACACCAAGGACCTTTAGATGTCCTTGTTTTTTCTTTCACTGGGGACCTTCCATCACTGCATGTAATATTGGTTTGACATGTTATCCATCTATGTCCACATCTCAAATACCTGTCTGTCCGTCTTTCTACCTATCTATCTCAAAAAACCATAAACTTCCTGAGAGTAGGAAGCATTATTTCATTTTCCATGCATCCCTGTTGTCTGGCACAAGGTTGGTGTTTAGTTAAATGTTTGTTTGAATGAGTGGATAGAAGTAAGATAATGAGTCCTAGTTGCAGGAAGCCTTGGAGTTGTATCTGGAAAGCTAATACCTGCTGACAGATAGTAGGAAGCCTGTATCCTCGGCTACATGACCTCATCTCACCAGGGGTTGTGTCTTATAACTCTGGCATTTCAGGGCAGTTCTCTTCATACCTACCTTATTTCATGGGAATTCATTGAAACCTTGAGTAGTTACTATTCTACATCACGTAGTAGTTCCAAATGGGTACAGAATCATAAACCTGGATTGCCTATTGGCTAGCTCTGTTACTGCTTTTTTTCCTTTTTTCTTTTGGTGAGACAGTGTCTCATTAGGTAGTCCAGGCTGGCCTCAAATATAAGATCTTGCTCTAGCTTCCAGAGTGCTAGGATTCCAGATGTATGCCACGATGCCTGGATGACTCTGTGATTGTGGGAAAACGATATAATCACTCTGATCTTCGGTTACTTCATTCTATAAAATGAAGGTCAATTAAATCTTCTTATAGGATTAAGTAAAATAATCTGTGTGAAATCAGAAAGCCTGTTCATAGCAGTTGCTTAATCAGTAAGCATTTTATTATTATCTAAATTGAATTCTTATGAAATAGGAGGAGAATTAACCATCCTTAGGAATAGTTCCCCAAAGAGTTAATATAAAACACCTTTCTTTTTGGTTTCTCGGAAAGCCTGCCAATAAGGTGCCTTCAGAGTTGATATGCTCTGCAGATTTGTTTAACATCAATTCCTTTGTGCTCCCTGAATATAGTTTTGGGTCTTACAGTGATGTGTCAGTCTGAATGAGGATGTCCTCCCATAGGCTCATATGTTTGAATACTTGGTGCCCAGTTGATGGAACTGTTTGGGAAGGATTAGGAGGCGTGGCCTTGTTGGAGGAGGTGTGTCACGGAGGGTGAGTTTTGGGGTTTCAAAAGCCTCCTGCTGTCTCCAGTGCTCTCTCTGCCTCTTGCTTGAAGATCAAGATGCAAGCTCTGAACTGTGGCTGCTGCCATGCCTTTGCCCCACCATCGTAGACCTTTACCCTCTGAAGCAGACGCCAAGTTAATTAAACGCTTCCTTTTATAAGTTGCCTTGATCACGGTGTTTTATCACAGCCACAGAAAAGTCACTAAGACAAATGGCTCCAGGTCTCTAGCAGCTTTTACAGCCTCCTTTCAACACCACCTCGCACACTGGGGAAATGAGCAGACTTTTGTAAGAGACTGACTGATGGTGGCGGCTTTTAAACGCATAGAAGATTCCAGACCAGAGAAGCATGTCAACAAAGGCTGGTGTAAGAAGCATGTTTTTCCACATAGTTATGGCATGGTGCTTGTCAGGTTAGGTCAAGTAGCTGAGGGTGATAGTTGCAATAAGTGAGTCTGGTGGTCTCTCAGCGCCCGAGGAAGGAAGCAATGTGGTGGAGCAAGCCTTAAATTCCAGTATCAAGTTGTGGTGATTTGACTGAGAATGGCCCCATAGGCTCATATGTTTGAATGCCTGGTCTAGAGTTGGTGGAACTATTTGAGAAGGATTAGGAGGCATGGCCTTTTCGGAAGAGGTGTGTCACTGGGAGTAGGCTCTGAAGTTTCAAAAGCCCATGCCTTTCCCAGTTAGCGCTCTCTCTCTCTCTCTCTCTCTCTCTCTCTCTCTCTCTCTCTCTCTCTCTCTCTCTCTGTCAGATCAGATGTAAGCCCTCAGCTACTGTTACAACACCATGCTTTGCTACCTGCTGCTGCCATGCTCCATACCGTGATGGTCCCGGGCTCTAACGCTCTGGAATCACGATTAACTGCTTTCTTTTATACATTGCCTTGGTCATGGTGTTGTGTCATGGCATTAGAAAAGTAACCAAGATGCAAGTGGAAGCCTCCGGCTCCAATCCTGTTTCTCCCATCACCCACTCTTAGCAGAAAGTCTGGTTTCTTCCACCAGTCTTTTCAGCATAAACCCTGGTGTCCTGAGGTCATACGGAGACTTACTGCGCTCCTCGAGGGGTTAACAGAAGGCCGATAGCCTCATTGCTCAGAATCAAAGCATTTCTCAAGTCATCAGATTCTCTGTAGAACATGGATAACTTGAAAATAGTCAAACTCCGAGGGTGAGTTACAGAAGCTAGGATGATACCTCCTTGTTTCAACTATAGCTTAGACCATTTCTCATCCTCTCGCCCCAGAAAAGAACACGTAACCCATCTCAACAGTCTCATTTCACTGTCCCCAAAGCAGCTACCAGCACCCCACTTGCTTCAGGTACAACTCCAAGCTCTTGGAGAATAGAAACACCTGCCTGACCCGTGGGCAGTCGGTTTCCTTTAAAGAAAATATGTTTTATATTCTAGAAGCATTCCAACAACAAATTCATTTAAAAAAAAAGAAACCGATTACACAACCCCCCTTCCCTAATGCAAACAACTTTTATTTTCACGTGACCCTCTTCGACCATCTTTGTTGGCAAAAGCCCCTAAAGAAGCCCCCCCTTTTTTTTTAATGATTTTTTTGTTGTTGTCACATCATGAAAGTCTGGAGAAAAAAAAAATCTCCCAAACTTTAAGTGCTTCCCATTAGTTAGCGTGAAGTTTCTACCATGACCAAAGGCAATGAGAGACAGTCTCGTGGTGTCTCTGTGTTTCATTTCCTGCCTTCTCCTCACCCATGGCAGCTGATCCTGCTCCTATCTGAGGGCCTGTGAATGTGCACCCCGCTGTCAGGAGCAGGAAACTCCCCCCAACAGTCACCAACTCATTCCTGTCTCTGCTCAAATTTTCTCCTTAGGGAGGCTTTCTTTGATTACTTTCTAGTATCTTCCATTGATCTCTATCTGAATTTAATTATCTTCATAGAACCTATAACCTCCACACACACTGCCCCAGCCCCTAGAGCAGTAGTTGGCCCAAGAGAGGGCCTCATCTGCCTGCTCAATGATGTGTCTGCCTGTGTCAGCAGAGATGGTGGGGAACTGGCTGCCTCCAGTTAGGAGAGGGGATTTAGTGACCAATGGGGAAATTGGATTTGATGGTTTAGAGTCCGGTTTCTCTGCTGTACTTCCCTAATAACCCATGATAAATCAACAACAACAACAACAAAATACCAATTTCCCCAGAAGCCTCTATACAAATAAGAAAATATGAGGCTAGGGAGATCATTGTGTTGGTAAAGGGTTTGCCATGCATGCCCAGGATCCTGAGTTGGGATACCCAACACTCATGTTCAAAGCAATGTATGGCAGGATGTGTCTACCGTCCCCGTGCTAGTGAGGCAGAGGCAGGTGGATCCTGGAACTTGCTGGGTAGCCGGCCTAGACAAATTGGTGAGCTCTACGTTCATAGTCCCTCTACTATATATATATATATATATATATATATATATATAGTAGAGGGACTATGAAGACGGCTCAGCGATTAAGGGTGCTTACTGCTCTTGCAGAGGACCTCAGACTTGGTTCCCAGCATCCATGTCAAGCGATTCACAATCGCCTTCATTTCCAGGGAACCTGATGCCCTCTAGTCTCTGAGGGCACGTGTACACATAAACTCACACAGGCATGCACACATAAATAAAATGAACAAATAAATTTAAAACATATGGTAGAAAGTAAGAAGAGGAGATATCAGATGTCAATCTCTGGCCTCTACACGCACATATACATATGTGCTTGTGTCCCTGTGCACACATACATACACACATGCATCATATGCAGAAACACACACACACACACACATACACACACACACACAATAACACTGTCAAACAATTAATTCGCTGTAAGGTAGTTGTCCAGCTAACATATCAATGTATCACCAGAGGGCAAGTCTTCTAAGAACATTAATTGGAGGATATGGCTTAGTATGCGATATGGTTTGAATATGGTTTGTCCTTTGAAATTCACGCTGGAGTTTGATCTTCACTGTGAAGCTTAAGCTGATTGTTTAAAGAGGGAGCCTTGGGAGATGAGTTGGGTTTGGATATGGCAAGTTGGCTAGAACTCCAGGGATTGGATCCCAGTGGCTTTATAAGAAGTCGGGATGGGGGTGGGATGGCTGCCTGTTGCCTCAAGATGCCCTGTGCTACCTTGGGACTCTGCCAGAAAGGAGGCCATCAACAAAAAATGGCTCCTCCGACTTTTACCTCCAGAACTCTGAACCAAGAGAAATCTCTTTTCTTTTACAAAGTAGCAGTCCTCAGATATTTCACCATAGTAACGAAAGCTCTGAGGGACTCAGGGAGTAACCCACAGCAGGCTGGTTCTGACAGACTCCAGAGTCCTCCCTGGCTGCCCTGCAATCCAGAACCTGTCCTTTCTCCCCTCTCCTTCCATCCTGGCAAAGGTCTCTGGTCCTCTGCTTAGATCCTCTAATATGGCCAGGCTCTTAAACACGCCCATTCTCTACCCTTAGGGTAGGATTCTGAAATAAGATGCCCAGACCACCTGCTTCCAAGTCACACCGGGCACTTCATTTTCTGTGCTTCGTAGGCATCCCTCATCTGCAGCCTGGGAGTTTCTGGGGTGGGGCAAGGAGCACCGCGCCTTAGAGAGACTATCTGCCTCCAGTTCTGTGTGCTCATCTTGGCGGCTTGCCCCTCCCCCCCCCCCCCCCCCCCCCGACTCTGTGTTGAGTCCCAGCTACCTCTCACACCCCAGGAGAGTGCTCACCTTTCCTTCACAGACGTTTCCTTTTTCTGCCGCAAACACTATTCCTAGAAATAAATCCTCCTGGCACTCTCGTTGTCTGAGAACTGCCTCGGTCCCCGCCCCACTTCCTGCCCCCCAAGGTTTTGTGATCTTTGGCTTTTTCCCCCCTCCTCTCTCTCCCTGGAGGATGGGTGGAAGGTGGGGCTTCCGTCGTCATAAGGAATTGAGCAGGCTGACACCCACCACGGGGAAACACAATTAAGAATGTTCACAGCAGGAAGGCTGCTCTCCGGGAAGCACAGAGAGCTGTCAGGACAAGTGACCTTTCTAATCACGCCTGACATTTCACAGCCTTGAAGGCGGAAGAGCTGCCCTTATTCCGGAGGCGCGATGTCGCTCTGTGTCACCCCAGACACCTGCGTCTGAGGCTGCGGTGACTTGGCCTCCAGCCGCGCAATGAACCAGAGCATGCAAAGGGCTTTGTTTCCCTCCGGGGAAAGAGAAGACGCTGAGCCAGAGACTTAGGTGGATGGCAACCGCGTCTAAACCTGGGACAGAGAGGCGCTGGAGAAGAATATCGCCTCCCCTGAGTAACAGCCTGCTCCCGAGGGTTCAGCAGGCCAGGCTGATCAAACAACGCCCCTGGGGAGGAAACCAAAGAGGATTACCTGCCAGCCCCAAAGTACTGGCTGCTGTGACTCATGTTTGACCCATCTCAGTATGAAAACAGCTTTGACTTATTTTCATATATATATGAATATATATATATATATATGTTCTAGAAAAAAACACAGAACATATATATATATATATATATATATATATATATATATATATATATATATATATATAAAGAAAAAAGTAAAATTACGTTTAATCTTATCAGCCAGATAACCATTGTTAATATTTTGAGGACAGCTGTTAAGAGTGGTATCTTAAGCCTGTAATCCCTGCGGGGGCCAAGGTAGCTCTCAGGTTTAAGGCCAGCCTGGACTCCTGAGCAACACTGTGTCTCAAACAAAAAGCAAGAAAGAAGAAAAAGAATATTTTGAGGAATGCACAACACACGATATTTTTAAAAAGAATTTTTTTATGTGCACAAATGATTTGCCTGCAGGTATGTAAGAGGTCTACATACATGTCTGGTGCCCACAGCGGCCAGAAGAAGGTGTGAGATCCCCCCCTGGATCTTAAGTTACAGAGAGTTATTAGCTGCCATGTGGGTGCTGGGAATTGAATCTGGCTCCTCTACAAGAGCAAGTGGTTCAACTCTCTAGCCTTTGAGTGGGTATTTCTGTGTGTGTTAGAATTTAGAAGATTTCCTGTGTTTATTGGCCATTTGAGTTGTTTGTTTTGTGAATTCTCCTGACCTTCAATCCCCTTTTGGGAATGCCAAAACTTTCTGAAATTTAGTTTTAAGTAGTTTCTGTATAGTAATGAGAACTATTTGTTATTATTATTAAAACATTTTTATTAATAATATTATTTGCTATTAATATTATTGATACTATTTATTAATAATTAATAACTGTTATTAATTGTTAGAAAAAATTACATCTTTTCTCTCTAGTTTATCAGTACCTTCATTTTCATGGGGGTTCTACCATGAAGACATAAAAACCTTCTGATGTTGTCTGAATAGCATAAGGTTTTAGCTTAAGAAAAAAGAATCATATTTATAAATGCCTTCTTCACTCTGTGACACTCTGTCTCTTTATTCAGTATTTGCTTCCCCAGCAAGACTGTAAACTGTATGGAGGGCAAAAATAAGTCTTTACTGTGTTTTCTTCTTGTGTGTTGTCTCTCAATTCCTGGGCTCTTTTGGCCACTCTTCCCGCTGTCTGCAATGGTCTTTGCTCCTTCTCATCGCATGAGTAGATGGCATCTCTGCAGAGAACTCTTTCCTGGTTAGCCTCTAGGGAAGCTTCCACCAAGCCCGTTCTTCTCTCTCCCGGCACTCTTGTTTCCTCTGTGACCTTTGCTTTAAGAAGAAGCATGGTCTAGTTTGTCTATTCAATATTTGCTTCCCCAACTAGAGTATAAACTCCACGGAGGGCAGAAGTCATGGCTATTTTGCATTCTAAGCGCCTAAACTAACATCTGGCATACGGCATAAACACAAAAGGAATTTGTTAAAGGTCATTGAATGTTAAGTCCGTCTAAAATTTATTTTGGTATAAGGTATGCACTAAAGATTTGGCTTAAATTTTTCCAGATGGTATCTTGTGATCACAGGGCACAGCAACAAAGCAGACCAGCTCTCTGCTAATCCTCATTTCATTTGACCCCAAGAAATGAAATCCAGGATGCAGGAGGGGGATGGAGTTACTGGCCCTCACTCCCTCCAGGCCCATGGACCTCCTTCCTGTCTTGGCAATGACTTTCCTGCCTCCATTATTGTCTTAGTCTATGTGCTTCCCCACAGGCTTATTTCGGGGCTTAGCCTAGAGAGGATCCTTAATTAATGATATTTACTCGCTGATTAAAGTCACTCGGATGGCGGGGAAATCCGAGGCTCTCTCTGGTGTGTTTCATCACAGTAGCCTCTGGAAACCCTGAGGAACCTCTCCTCTCTCCACCACGCCGCAACACTAGATTGTTCTGGGCCCTTCAGCACCCGGCTTTCACTTCTCACAGTTGTGAACGTGGCGACAGACCCTGGAGGTCGTCAGAGGAAAAAGGGGGAAGATGGCCGTGCCCACGCACGCGAGATTTGGAAGTTTCAGGAGCCACATCATGTCCCATCCATTTTTTCCGTCAAAGCTGGCCCGTGGGGCTCATGAGGTGGATCAGTGGATAAGGGTGCCTACTCCCAAACCCGACCACCTGAGTTCTGTCTCCAGAACCGGTGTAAAGGTGGAGGAAGAGAACCACGTCCACAAAGTTGCCCTCTGACCTCCACACACGTTTTGTGGCATATACCCCGCCTCCACTTCCTGCACACACACACAGTAATAAAATAAAAATAAAATTTACCTGTGAGATAGCTCCAGCAGCTTTACAATCAGGCCTCAGGAGGTCATAACTTTAAAATTTTATTATCAGTAAGTTTCTTTCCCAATTTATTAAAATGTTAATACTAGATATAAAAGAATCTGTTTCTCACCATTTAAACCTTTTGTTTGTTTGTTTGGTTTGGTTTGGTTTTTTGAGACAGAGTTTCACTGTGTAGCCCTGGCTGTCCTAGAACTCACTCTATAGACCAGGCTGGCCTTAAACTCAGAGATCTGCCTGCCTCTGCCTCCCGAGGCTGGGATTAAAGGTGTGCACCACCACCACTCGGTCCATTTAAAACTTTTAATGAACTCTTAGTACCCAAAGAAGTCCAACTTACTATTAATACTAATCCTCAAAGGATAACATTTAAAAAGGAGAAAAAAAATCAACTATCATTTACCTTGAAACAAGGACCTCACAAAGAAGAGTCAATTGTACACTTAAAACTTATTAAATGTGGAGGCCGAAGAGACGCTCAGTGGGTGGGGTGCTTGCTGCCAAGCCTGATGGCCTGAGTTCAATCCTCAGAGCGCAGTGGGAGAAGGAGAGATTTGACTCCTAAAAAGTTGTCCTCTGACCCCTACTTGCAAGCTGTGGTTTCTGTTCCCATGCTCACATATGAAATTAATAAGTAAAATCGTAACGCTATTTAACACTTCATCTTTAATCCTTCTAAAACCATTTAGAGTGGCTTCCTTAGTAGCAGTTTTTTGTTTTCATTTATCTGTGGTCGAGGCAGAGAGCAGCACATCCTTGCTAACCAGCAGCCATCAGGCAAAGCACGCTTACGCTTCTTCCACGCTGAGTGAGAGGTCAACTCCTCCACACCCGAGTTTTTTGTTTGTTTGTTTTGTTTTTATTAATTTTTTTTTAATGCCGAATGCCTTTTATTGAAGGACGGAAGAGGTCTTAAATACGGGCTTACAGTACAATGGGAGAACCCTGGAGGGCAGAAGTTCTACTGATGTTTTATAATCTTGCATCTAAGCTGTTAACGCCCAATATGCAGGATACACAGACAAGGAACTTCCCTTAACCATTCAGGAGGGTGGAATCCGGTAGGGAATTAGCATAGGAAGGATATCAGGGTCAAGGTCAGCAAGCAAGGCAACAGTTACTCAAAACGGGGGCCAGGGCCCTATAGGTCCCCCCCTTTTACTAAAAAATGAGCTTCTGACTTAGGTTGCGTGGGACGTCAGCAGGTCACCTTCCCCGTCATGGAGACACCTGCCCAGGCCACACAGGCACTCTGTCTTAGGTTGGTGAGTGCCCCCCAGGCATTACCCATCTCTGAATACTCATTATCATATAGGCCCACACCCGAGTTTTTTGGGACAGTGCCTCAAGTAGTCCAACCTAACTTCAAACCCACCATGTAGCTGAGGATGGTCCTGGTCTTGTCTTAAACACCTGGTCCTCCTGCCTCCCTCTCCAGATATCAACTTCCTTGTTCTTTATAATTGGAGGAGAGTCATAGCATTAGAGTAGACATCGGGAAATGTTGATTGCGCAGTTGTAGAAATCATTTCCTTAAAATGAACATGAATACTAGATGAGAATGATGACAGAAATAACGTGTTTATTTCAGTGAACTTTTTGCACATGTAAAACTTTGGTTAAATTCCACCTTTGGGATCCTAGACTTTGCTTTTGTCTTATCGTGGGAAACACAAAGTCTCTTGCAGACACTAGTAATTTCAAGATGAGAGAGGGTCAAAGGGTGCTTCTGTTGGTTTAAATAACAGCCAAACATTCTTCACATAGGGGCCTAGGATGTGACTGTTGTTAATACGGAGTCTTTAATGATAGAAACATTATTCAACTAAAAATATAATACAAAAAATTTCACCCAACTTATTAAATCCAAGAACATCCAATTTTGTAAATAATGAAAAGATACAACTTAACTCATTGAGCAAATCCTGGGTGCCCCTAATTCATCCATTATAAAATAAGAAATTAAAATGATGCTGAATGGAAGGTTGCAAAACAAGTGTTTCACAGTCTGGGTGGAAGAATAAAGAAATATGTGCCTAGACTAGGATTTCCCAGGAACCTTCCAAATGTTCATACCCCAGGGACTCAGTCTTCCTTCTGCAGATCTCAACTGGAAACGCTTACCTCATGGTTCTTTGGTAATATGTGACTTTAAAGTTTAGGATTCTAGCCAAGGTGGGCGACCTGGAGCAATGCTTCCGTGGGTCATTTCACAACAAAGGATATTCTCTCAAATCTCAAAAGGATCTGGACTTTGACTCTAGTTTTTATTTTTTTTATTTTTTTATTTTATTTTTTTTTTTTTTTGGTTTTTTGAGACAGGGTTTCTCTGTGTAGCTTTGCGCCTTTCCTGGAACTCACTTGGTAGTCCAGGCTGGCCTCGAACTCACAGAGATCCGCCTGGCTCTGCCTCCCGAGTGCTGGGATTAAAGGCGTGCGCCACCACCGCCCGGCTTAGTTTTTATTTTTAAATGTTTCATAAGAAAAAAGATCATGAAAGAAATATCCAAGTGTTAACACTGCTTGTCTCTAGGTGGTAGGGTTATATGTAAAAAGTTACAGTTACAATTTTCACCAACCAGAAATCAAAGATGAGGAACTTTCCTTGTGTGTTCCATCATTGTCAATCGATTTACAATGCAAGCCTTTCAGTCCAACCAATCAGATTCATTTGTTCCTTCTGTGGTTAGGAACAGCCATAATGTTACTAAAGAACCAA